CTTCTATTGTTTCAAATGGATTATTTCTCTACATTTTTTTTTCTAAATTTATATTGACTCACGTTGTGTTTGGTTTATAGGCATTGAAAGCCAATGAAATGGGAAAAAATTCACCGTGCCAAAAATTGCAATGTTTAGTTGGCAAGAAAAAAAATCATATTTCCGTCCACGGCTCTACCATTTATTTTCTCATTGACAATGTGTTGACCATTCCTTAATAAGTATGATGGAAAAACACTGAACGAAAACGAATAAAGTATGAAAAAGCCATATTTGCCACTTATTTACCAATAAAAATTTCGCCTATAAGGGTACTTTGGTCAATTAATACTCCATCTTCCTATTCATATATATTCTACTTTACCAAACATAATATACAAAAATATTCCAGCCTCATTTAAAACACCCCAAACGAGTTTGTAAGTAATGATATTTCTACTCTTTCTTCATTTCCATTCCTATCCTTATTATCATTTCTTTAATACGCATTCCATTATTTTGGATATATCCAACATGTTGGAGTGTTAGTGTACTTACAAAAGTAAGATTTATAGAAAATTAGATAAATACTGTCAAGTTTCAAAAAAAAAACTTGATTTTAAATAAATATATAATTTATCCATAAATTATATTCCCTTAACATTTATATTTCCTCTAGAATACTGTTATTTATCTACTAAGCATGTATGTAATAATAAGAAATATTAAATATATATACTTGATCAAAACATGAAGAGATAATTTTCAAAGTTTAAAACAAATAAATACTCTCTCCATTAAAAAATGTAAGATATTTTTTGAAGAGTTAGATGTTAAAAATATAAAACATTTTTAATCTTTTGAAATGTAATCATTACTTTTTTTAAGTGTCTCTATTAATAATAACTTTATATTTATTGTAAGATATTTAATAGGGATAAATATAAAAAGATAAGGTTAGTTTAAAAATAAATAACTACTTTATTAAAAGTGAGATTCAATTAAAATATCTTTTATTTTTAAATGGATAGAATAATAGCGTAACTTACTAGTTACTATTTCAAAAATCATTTTTTTTAAAGCACACAATGATTTTTAAATGAAAAAGAAGAGAAACTCATACCATAAGAATTGAAACCTACAGAAGCTTCGTTCCTGCCTGGCGCCGAGCATCAAGGCATTGTATCACAAAGGGGGCTCTGAGATTAAACTAAATAATAATAATAATAATAATAATAATAATAATAAATAAAAGGCGTGGTGGGGGCATGAGGGAAGATATTTATAGCAAGGAAGTTGACAAGTCATTAATAAATAGTTCATGCAGTTGGGCGACTTGTGGCAGTGGGTGAGCGATGCTTCAAGTTTTGTAGGGCCTTCCATGTGATTGCATAAACATTAATAAAACTATTCAAATTGTATCTATTTTAATGATTTAATTTTATCTTGATCATATTAAAATGAGATTTTGTATGATGGGATAGAAAAAGGATTTTGGACAGAATATGGGATTGCCTAGGATATCTTGTCCCAAATATTATATATATATATATACATATATATATATATATATATTACTTTATTTTAAAAATATACATTAAATATATTAATTATATTAGCATAATTTATACTTATATTAATCATAATTGAAAAAACATAAATTTGAGTCACCGTGTTTTGCTTGTATTTTACCATTGATTTTTGTACTTTTCTTTCGGTGTTTTAGATTTTAATATTTTTATTTTTTTCGTGTTCTAGGTCCCCTAAGATTCCTATATTTTGTTTATGAAGGGATCTGAAATATTAAAAAATAAAAGTATTGGGACTTAGAATATTGAAAAAATACAAGGACCAATAGCAAAATATATACAAAGTGTAGAAACCCAAAGTTATATTTTTTCATTATAATTTTAATACGTGCAATTCTTATTTAAAAGTAAAAGTTTTTATATTGATAATTTTAATGACATAGAGTAAATAGTATAGGATAATATATTTATTTATAATATGTTAATTATATTAATATAATTTATTATTATATTTATTTATTTAATAACTTTTATTTATATCGTATTTCTTACTTTATTTTTGAAAAAGTAACTAGCTTAACATATCTCAATTAAAAAAAAATAATAATGACTTTATATTGTGCCTAACTTATCTGTTGTTGCTACTCTTATAGCCTAAAAATTATTTGTAATTACTATCATAATATGTTATACATTTGTAGCTGTAATTAATGTAATTCAATAACTGACAGTAAATTATTGTGACTTATATGTATTCGTGTTATTTTAATCTTAAATTTAATAAATTATATGATTTAAAATTTTAATGAATGTTATTATCCAAACCTTTCTCTCACATTGTCTGCTTTATCAAGATGATGGGACATCTCAATTCTTAACGGGATGAGATGACTTGTGGAATGAAACGGGGCACGGGATAAAAAATTAATTTTGATCATTTTCAAGACTAGACATGAAATAGGAGTGTTCTGATCTTATCATATTCCATGAACACCCCTATATATTAGTATATGTGTAAGGCCTTACATGTTTTTAAAAGGTGTGCACATATACTAATGTATAAACTATAGATATTTGCAAGGCCTTGCATGTTTTAAAAAGGTGTGCATGTATACTAGCACTGCAAGCAAGGAGCACCTTTTTTTTTTTCAAGAATCTTACTTGGAACTCCTAAAGCATAGAAATTTGCATTTAGAGCCCAATACAAATCAAAAACTATTTGTATGTCCAAGAGTTTTAAGTAGAAATATGTTTTAATGAGAAAAGATGCATTTGTCTTTCTTTTCTCTATAAATGGACAACACAATATTTATAAATTTTCAACACCATGTGCTATAATGTAAAATTAATCTAGTGAATATGGTTTAACCAATGTTTTGAAACTCGGATCGAACATCGAACCGGAAAGAGCAGTGGGTCGCAATTTTTATGGTCAAACCGATTAGACCGGCGGTCAAATTGGTGATATAAAAATTAAATAAAAAATAAAATTTATATGCGCAATTATATAAATAAAATATTAATTTGTCAATGGTGCTTGAGATTTCAACCTCAAAAGCTAGATGCTTGGATTGTTGGAGCTAGAGGTAGAGGCATGTTAGTACAAGCTTGTGATCTCAAAGGAAAATATTGGAGCTGGAGGCATGCCGTCATATCATGACTCATAAGCTTTCGATCTCGATGCTAAAGGTTGGATCTTTAGAGTTGGAGGCAGATGTTGGAAGAAAAGTTAGAGATTGAATTTGGGCCATAAAGGAGAGATGAGAGATTAGAGAAGAAAAGAAAAGAGAGAATTAGTAATTAGAGAATAGAAATTGTGAATCTAAGCAACTCAACTTAAATTTTTTTTTAATTTTTTTAGCTTTGAACCTGGTTGACCCGGGTTGACTCGGGTCCGGTTTTTGGGTCAATGCCGGTTCTCTCAAAATCGGCCGGTTCAATCCGAGTCAACCCGAGTCAGAGGTCAGATTGGTTCAATTGGTTGAATCGGACCGTTTTGTTCAACGGGTGACGGTCGGACCGTCCGGTTCGGTTTTCACAACATTGGGTTTAACTTAAAATGTACAAGTTGCACAGGATGAAAGAATAACATATGTTCATGAATGCATAATATAATATTCATAAAATCTCGACACAATGTCTAGTAATGTACAATTGGTCTCGTGGAAATGATTTAATTTAAAATGTACAAGTTGCACAGGATGGAAAAATAACAAAATATCTATAAATGCACAACACAATGTTCATAAACTTTCAACATAATTTCTTGTAATTGATACCAAAATGTTCAAGAGCAAATGCATTTTTTGCCGTTAAAACATATTTCCACTTAAGGCCCTTAGGCTTGTAGAGAGTTTTTAGATTGCATTGGTAAATGTAAACTTTTATGCTATAGGGGCCCTAAGTGAGATTTTCTTTTTTTTTAATAATAAGACAATTTTAATTAAATTAAACTACAGGGCAAGGCTGAGAGGGGAAAAAATAGAAATGAAGAGTTTATTAAAAAAATGAGAGAATTACATTCAGATTCCACACAAAAAATTAATTACTATAGAATCCATTAATAACTGAACTAAAGTGTATTGATGACTGGTTGTATTATCAATACAATTTAATTCAGTTATCAATGAACCTTGTGGTAATTAATTTTTTTATATGGGATTTCAATGTAATTCTTCCACACACAAAAATTTATCATGTTCAAGAAGAAGCTCCTCCTAAAAATGATTAGATTGTAGAGACTTTTTTTTGTGACATTAGATGAACAGATTCTTGTCCACATAAAGCCACAAGGGTAGAATTTTCTTGTTCAAGGAAGGCCATGTGTTGTATAACATCATGATCTATAAATATAATTTTGCCAAGATCCTGTTAATGTTGAGACCACAAGCATTAATCCAAGTGTTTGGAGTTTACAATAAAAGTCACCATGTTTGATCCGGCTTTTCTATTAGCACGCACAACATAACAAAGGCTAAAGTGCCCAACGAAACAGGCAAATACTCGTACTCTGTTTAGTTTAGCTGTGTATTCTCTCTGCCTCGTGCTACACGGAAATTCAACGTGTAAGAGAATCCCAATGCTTTACTTGTCTTCATTAAAAATTAAATTTATTCGTCTACTCTAGAGGATTTGATTTTATTTGTTCACATATTATTAAATCGATTTCTCAAACACCCCCCCTGGATTTGTAATCATATTCCAATTTTGAAAATATTTGAAAATGGCACTTCTACATTTGCTTTTACACTTTTTTCAAAAGATCAATACAAGTCATGTGGGAATTAAATCATTTACAATTATTGAATAATATACAGTAGTTTATTAGACTTTTTATAATAGACATATGGATCATTTTCACTTTCACTAGTGCAACATGTAATTTGATTCACACGTCTTTTATTTATACAAGGACAGGTGGGCATGTTTAATTATTGATTTGATTGCTCCCATTTCAAAGGGGGCAGAAGGAAATAAGACCAACGAAGCAAATCAGCAACTGAACGGGTCAAATGGATTGAAAGCAGAGAAATAATTTCAATCCAACCATAAATAAATTATCTAGTTCCAACCATAAATTTTCTAGTTGTCTCCATCCCATTGGCTCAGCCACAACCAATTTCCACATTGGAAGCTGCTAGCACAGTAAATGAACAAAGTAACAATTGATTCATCACGTAATGAAAGGAAACATTTGGCAGTGTCAGCCTAAACACTGCATATAAATGCTTATTTGCAAACACGTCGAAATAGAAATAAAGCAAGGCTAATGAAGATCTTATCAAGCAGGCATTCCTGCTTCTTCCAGAAGCTGCTTCACTTTGGTGATGTAATCACTCATCGCTTCTTCCTGGGATTTCCCTGTAAGACAAAGAAAGTGATAAGTCTCAGTCTAAGATGGTCTAGCCAGCATTCAAGTGATCCGTGTAATGAACTATTTTTTTTCTTTTACCTTCAACAGCCTTCCAAGCATCCCATTTGGCTCTGTCCCTCATGTTGAAAATCCCAGGACGACCTGGAAAAACACACAAATTCATGAACATTAAAGAGAATCCCAGATAAATTCTGAAGTTAAAGTTGCTGAATCTTGCTTGTTGAAAGAAAAGCACTCACTGGTGTTAACAGGTCCAACAGTGGCTTGCTTGTACAATCCATAGAGGATAAGCTTGTTTTCATTTGTTGTAGTCTCAGGAAGAGTCTTGGCTTTCTCGGCGTACTGCTCAAAATCCTCCTGCATAAAAATGTCCCAATGAGTGTGATGCTTAAAAGTTGCAAGTCCTCACGCTAATTACTCATAAAGGAAAAATAAAGTGAAAGAAGCAACTTTGCAGCATGAATCTGAAGGAGTTCAAAGTTCCAAAAAAAAAGGTGAAATTCTAATGCTCCTGAACTTGTAGCTAAAACAATCCTTGTTGACCAAAAGTTGAATATCATTGGCCTTGACCGAGTTCTAACATGCAGTTCTGAATTTCTGATGAAACATGAAACAGATTTCGTGGTGGCAAAAGAAGGGGCAATTACACAATTTCAGGAACAGGGTTATCTCACGTCTTCTATTCTGATTAAAATCATTGAACTCCATAATTTTTTTGTTCATCTCACTACACCAACTCATTATTACTTGAGAGAACAATGATCCCAGGATCCGTAATCAGTAATTTAAAGCCTATACTTAAAAGAGCAGGTCCATACAGCTATAATTCTCATTTCAGGTACAACACAAAGCACTACTTTCAAACAAATCAAGGACGCCACTTGAAAGTTATAATATACCAGCCAAGCAAGATTAACGAGGAAAGTAGGGCTTCTTTTCCAGAACAAACATGCAGCAACCAAATAATTTGTGATCACTCGAGAAAAATCACAAGAACAGATCCGAGAAACGAACCGACTAAAGAAAAATCGACAAAATCACACAGGGAAAGGCGCGGATCTGAGCTGATTTGCTTATACAGGTAAAAATAAGGATCGAACAGAGTGTAGAAGTGAATAATATATCGAAAGTGTAGAAGTGAATAATATGTCGAAGAATTAAAATTGAAAATGGGCGAAGACAGAGATTGAGGATGCAAACCTTGAGACCCATTTGGTTTTGCGACCCTAATCAGATTGTTGCTAGAAGATGATGAATTGCGTTACGTTCGAGGCCTCTTTATAATGTGTCGCAGAGCAGGGTGGTGGAGCAGCGTTGATCTTTCAGTAGCCACAAGCCAATCACATGATTCCACCTAGGCATATTCCTCCCATCCCTCTTTTGAAAATTGAATTCCATAACTACAATCAATTAAAATTTCTTTTATTATATTTATAAGAATCGATGCGTTTTGACTGGTCACGAAAATGGTCACAAAATTCCTTTGTTCATCGCGTTGTTATACATTATAATATATTTTTCTAAAAATTTTAGGGCATGTTTGGATAACAGCGGACAAAGGTTGATTAGCAAAACATGATGATATTTTAATAATATTTTTTAAAATTGATTTTGATATTGGAAGATGTTTAAATGATTTTTCAGAATCAATATAAAAATTGGTGAAATGAAAACGGCTCAAATATTGAGAATTGATTCTCAAGCAGACAAAAAAAAAAAAAACTTCTCCAAAATGGAGTTTCACAAACTAAATAAAGTTTTACAAAATTGTGAGTATTTCAATAAGTTTTTGCAGCACTATGATTTTAATTTCAGAATTGATTTCAAATGGAAATCCAAACAGGCCGTTAATGTTTTAAAAAATTTTGTGGCTTATTATATAATTATTTAATAGTATGTATTATGTAATATGCCAGACATGCTTTTTTTTTCATATCTTGAAATGAATTTAAAAATAATTGTAATATTCATGCTCTGTGAATTGCTTAATTTCATGTAAATTATATGTTATGTGGTGATATCAAAATTAATACATGATATTCGATGATTTTGAATGGTAAAATCCAATTTTTATAAAATTATCGTAACAATAGGCTCGAGAAAACTTTTTGGTCATGATTAATAATAAAAATTATTCGACTTAATATTAAATTTTTTGTATGCCCATGTTGCCTATATTCCTCCATAGTCTATGCTTTAGAAATTGTTATATAGACACACACTCATATATATGCATTATTTTAAAAAGTGCAACCTATGCGATGTGCAATACATGATCCGATTGATTCAAGTGTTTGTTTTGGAAGAAAGGCAAAAAACCAAACCTAAGAGGAAAATTTGAGTTGGAGGAAACCTGAAATGGGATGGATTAGGGTGGACCACAAGGGCGAAGCCACATGCGGAGGATTCATACAGGACAAGAATGGCCGATGGAAAAGCTGCTTCATCATCAAGTTGGGAACAAGGTTTTGGGGAAGTTAGGATGTTTTCTGATTTTATGGAAGTTTTAAGTAACAATTCAAAGATTCAAGATAGATCACACTCAGCTTTTAGTGTCATGAAAGAGATTACAAGACTTGATCGGCTTCCACAGCTCATGACATGAATACCCAGTCCAAGTTCTTCAAGAACCTATCCTCTCTTGGAACTTCGGTAATCAATCATGCATACTCAAGCAAGTCCTCTCTCTCTTCACTTGGGCTTTTGGCAGTCGATGATTGTCCAATACTGTGCAGCTGCCCGACCATGTCAAGTATCGTCAAATTTAATTAGAAGAAGCTCTTTCAAAAATGTCATATGAACTTGAACTCAAGAATTCATGCTTGAGAGACAAGTCCCTTCCTTTAAAATCAACACAAAAAAAACCAACACCTGGGGTTCTGCAAGTAATTTTACATCCATAGTTTGATGAGAAGCTTCGTTGGAGTGGGCCTGAAGATTTATTAATCTGTTGATTTTTCGTTATTTTCCCCATGTATTTGAGCACTTATTATAAATGAAATTATTCTATTTTCTCCTGCCATTATCTGATCGTTGTAGGTGTGCTTTTGCATTATCTGGTTATCTGCTGCTAAACTCTGGAGACACTAAGAAATTTACGTGCAGGCGTTATCGTTCCTTCCTCCTTGCATCCATATGGAACTAGAACGCTTGTACGGATAAGAGAACGACTCCCAAGTGTTACCTTCCACGCATGTAAAATTCAGGATCTCGCAAACAAAAACTGGAACAGAAAACATTAGGCCATAAATGATACCCCCTCTACCCTTATATATAAAAAATCTTTTAATTTTTTCCTAAATATAAAAAGTTATTAACATTTTTTTTAATGAAAAAACTATTATACTCTTATTAAATAAAAAAATATAAATACTCTCATTAATTTTTTTTAAAAAAATATTTTTTATTTATAATAATTAAAAACAAAATTAAAATAATGTAATATTTTTAATTAAATAAAATTTTTATTAATTTATGTAATTCAGTTAAAAAATATTTTATATATAAGGACGAGTATCATCCAAACACATCACAGTCAAAAGCAAGAGGCTATAAATTAATAACCGTTCACATGATATTTGAAACTAGAAAGCTCTAAATAAATCCAAAGATGCTGAATCCCATGCAAAAATAAAATGGCACGCAATCAATTATCTATTAAATGGAGTACAAAATGGGTGCCGAAAGAATATCACTTCTTTTCTTCCTTTTCAGCTTCGGCAGCCCTCTTTAGCCTAGCACCAACATGGCGCGCATTTGTGCGTTCAACACGAAGCTTCTTATAAGCATCAAATGCCTTCATTTCATCTGTGATCTTAACAAGCTCCACGGATGGCTTCTCCCTCACAATTGGCAAGTATTGTCCCTGCACTTGAGTGGCATTTGAAAGCTCCTCGGCAGTAGAATCACCGGCCTGCAATATCAAAAGGTAACATTCATAAAGGTCAAACAAAACCCTTTTTTTCCCCCTTATTTCTTGAAAGGGTAACAGTCATCACAAAAATAAAATAAAATAACAAACATCCGAACCATCTTATTTACCTTGAACTTGCGTGAGCGCCTTGGGAACACAACCAACTTGGCCTTGAAAGTTTTCAGCCGCTGCACATTAGCCTGGAGACTTTCCAGAGAACGGTTCCTCCGGCGATGATCAACAGCAATGCCAATGGTTGGAGCAAGCTTTTTAGGAATGCCTGCAGCCTGATATATATATATATATATATATAATATCATAAGAAGGACTTAACCTCATAAATTTTACAAGCATTAATACTCGTACAAAGGAGCAAAACAAAATACTTAATTCACTCAATTAATTTATATACACCAGACACATCCTTCCAGCCAGAATATATAAAACTACTCCGCAAGGAGGTCATTGCACGTAGCCACGTCCAATAATAAACAAGCACTCATTTGCTCTCGTACTGTCCTAATATTCCAGAACAACCCTTCTAATATTAGCATCCTAAAACAAGATGGAACACAAATCGCAAAACACGAATTGGTAAACAAACACTAATGCCACCTAACAAACAGGGAAGAGTTAAAAGAGAGAGGTGCCAGTGGCTGTAATGTCAGAAAACTACAATTTTATTAGGATTAACAAACAGGCATCGGTAAATTCCTCTTAAACACAATGACATCAACAGAGCAACAAAATAAGAGTGTAAGACAACATCAAGCGCTAGCAACAAAAAATTTACCTTCAGTTCTTCTAGGGAAAATCCTCTACCAGCTCTGACTTTCATGTTGTATTTCAAAGTCTGACCATGAACAACAGGTCTAAGAGGTCCAGCTGTAGGCCTAGGGAAAATCTTAACAGCTTTCTTTTGCCGAGCTAGAATCACCAGGGAGTTAAAAAAAAAATAGAAAAGGAAAAGAAATCAGTATAAATCTAAAAGGATCATTAATTCGTTATAGCAAAGGTTAAGGGAAAGAATGAAACCATCTAAAATTACCTATTCGTCTCCTCGTCTTCCTTGCTGGTTGATTGAACCATGTCTTCACATAGTTTTGCCAATGCTTCCGGAAGTGACCATTTGGTATGACATTGTTATGCTTAACCATGGCTTACCTAACAGTGACAATCACAGAAAATAAAAAGAAAAAAATTGAGGGAATAAGAGAAGCCTACAATTATATAAACACAGAAAAAACTCAAAACCCTGAAATACTACATGGATCAAGCAAAACCGATCCCACTTGATGCAGAGGAACAAAAGATCTTCGAGCATTCCCCTAAGGGGATATCTATTTTGATGGTAACATGACAAATAAGGCAAAAGGAAGTGCATTCTATCTACATTCACCAAGTAAGACTGAAATTTTCGCATATGTCAAGTATTACAATGCTTCAAATTGTGCACATTAAATTTATATCTTCACGACCTCATTCATCTGATTAATTAGGAGACAATGTTTTTAATCACGTGAGCTATAGTTCCTGCTTGCCATTTTTTAAGCTCAACTCAGGGCAAAAAAATGTATCAGACACACAGATCTACTCTGTACTGTACTCAAGTTTAACAGGAAAAAATGACCTTCTACATAAACACATGCAAAATTCACTCAGCGGTTATACAGCTGTACAACACAATAAATCTCGGAGCCTCTTTGAAAAGGATACAAAAATGCTAGAGTTTGAATTACTCCTATTTTTGTGTAACCAGGATACAAGGAAAAGATCAAAAGAATCTGAGTAAAGAACAATTATATCACTAGTAGAATGGAATTTCACCAAGTAACTAATAACTATACTTCGTCAATAGAAGTGATAGAAAAAGAAAAACGCGGCGCCGGAAGAAAAATAAATCCCATGGATATAGATTTCCAGAAACCAAGAAACCATGAGGAAGATCCATCTTAATTAATTCACTTCCGGCTATCTTCTACGTCAAAAGTCAAAACCCCGGAAAACTCTAAGCAGTAAGTTGGAAAGAGTAAATAAAATCTTCAAACAGAAGTACACAGGATGATCATCAGCAATTACAAAGAATAAAGGTACAAACTTCGAACATTGGATGGAATAAAACAGAGGGAAAGTGTGGCAGAGTGAGCGAGACATCGTAAGTACCTGAGGCTTCTCCACCCGCCGAAGCACAATGCAGAGAGAGACGCACCAGAGTTGGAGGAGGTATAGAGCTTCCAATCTAGGTTTTAAAGGATCAGCAAACTGACTGGGCTTTAGATCGTATCAACGGCTAGGATCGCTTTGTCGCCTCCGGGCTTTAGTTTGTTGGGCGAGGCCTAAGCAACACAGGGCTTCAGATTTTGAGTCTGGCAACTTGTCCGTTTGTTAGCCTAATGGGCCCAAAAGTAATAAAAAGTTGGACATCTTTCTACTTTTATTTTATTGCTGAAATGCTCGTGATTTAAGTTGGAACCATCATTTTTTTTTTTATTATTTTTTTAATAACCTGACCCAACCGCAAGTTTCCTGGAGTCGCTGCTATCCTTGTTACCCTCTTGCACTCCATTTTTATATAGCTGCCCGTGTATTTAAGTTGTTTTGGGAAAACTATTTTGCAAGTCCTTATAATATTTTTTTTTTTTTTTGCCCCTCTCCGAAGGCTAGCCCAAGCTAGAGGGGGTTATAAGTTACACAAGAAGTAACCAAGAAATTAGTGGGACAAACCCCCACTATACTCAAGCACTAACAAATGATCACATTTTCTAGGAGGGTTAGAAAGTAACATTAACTCATTTGAATACTCATAAGCTATATGAGCTAAAAAATTTGCACAGAACATAGCCTCACGTGGGGCGTAAAGAAACTTAAGATCTCTATGATTAGACATCAAATTTTGCACCTTAGATATTTTCTCATAATATGGATGAGCAGTATAGACTTCTCGATAAACATAGGACATGGCTTCAAGTGAATTAGAATATATAATCGCTTGTTTGGGGTTCAGGCTCAAGCTCAGTTGTGTACTATACTTTATAGCTATGATTTCTGCAATGATAATTGGTAGATGGCCTAGATTACAAAGAAAGCCACTAACCCACTTTCCTTCAGAGTTTCGAACTAGTCCACCACATGTTGAACAAAGTTGGGATTGAAGCATAGAAGCATCAACATCTATTCTAAGTGTCCCATGTGGTGGTGGAGTCTATTTGTATCGATGCAATTCATTGGTAGTACCATGCTACAAATTGAGGATCTCTAAATCTCTCTCCTTTATCAATTTCCTTCTGCAAACATGTCAGACATTTCTCATATTGTATTGTGTGCCTACAAATATTGCCTTGCATCTATGCATCTACAGTAACCAATAAACTGGACCAAAGATTTTCACCCATGGCCATTTTTGGAATTGTCTACCACTAATATGATGCTTTATATTCCAGTCTATCCATTCCTGCAAGCTACACAAGAAAAAGTGGTCATGAAAAACAAGATTTATAATTTCCTTCCATGTGTTTTTTGCTCTCATGCAATCTCTCAAAACATGTATAGTGCTCTCTTAGCCATATTGGAAAGGACAATTTGGATCAGAAGTAAGCCCTCTATTTGCTCTCATAAGGTTACTAGGAATTCTCTCATGTAGGACCTGCTAAAAGAAGAATTTTACTTTTTCAAGTAAAGCCCATTTCCACAAACATTTCCAAACCAGACTTCAGCTAGCAAAACCACATTTCCAACTAGGAAATTATAAGCAAACTTGACTGTGAAGTTACCATCACCACTAGCTCTCTACCAGAACACATCTTTAAGTATGCTACGATAAGGTTAAGCAGTGGATATACGATTAACTATATCTATAGAGAAGAATCTGAGTAAACACTCTCTGTGCCAGGCACTCGGAGGAAGAACAAAGTCACACACCTTAGCATGTAGGTTGAGATGATTATCCCTTCCTGAAGCATAGGTAATCAATGGTTGCTTTAGCGGAGCCCAATGATCCCATCAAAAGCTTGTTGTAGTACCATTCTTAACTTTTCTTCTGACCCCTTGCATGAAAGTTTCTCAGACTTCACAGATACTAGTCCAGGTATGAGATACTGATATTTTTTCATCACTATTGGATATTTACCTATTCCGCAATTATACTTCAAATTTGCAAGACATTTATAAAGAAATCATTGATGTTGAGATCAAGGAAGCTGTCTTTTGAATGGGGGCCTTTAAAGCTTTGAGACCAGATGGTTTAACTACCCTATTTTATCAAACTCACTGGAAAGCCATTAAAGATAAAATCTGCAGTTTTATGAAAGAAATTTTTTCTAATCCTTACAAAATTGAAGAGATCAATCAAACCAATATCTGTTTAATTCTTAAGGTTGATCAACCTTCATGTTTTAAAGAATTCAGACCCGTTTTCCTCTGTAATGTGAGCGTAAAGATTGTGACTAAAATTCTTGTTAACAGAATTAAGGGTTATATGGATTTCTTGATCAAGCTAAATCAGTGTAGCTCTATTACTGGTCGTCAAAGTAGTGATAACATCATCATTACCCAAGAAGCTATTCATGTGATGAGGAAAAAGAACAAGCACAAGGGCTACATGGCAATAAATGTAGACCTCGAAAAAGCCTATGATCGCCTATATTGGAATTTCATTACTCATGCTCTTAGATGTGTTAGTCTAAGAGAACACCTTGCAAATGTCATAATGGCTTACATTAGTACAGCCTTGATAAAGGTGAATTAGAATAGTAAGCAGTCCCCTGAATTTAAACCCTCAAGAGGGATTAGGCAAGGTGACCCACTTAGCCCTCATATTTTTGTGTTGTGTATAGAACATCTGGGTATGATGATTCATCATTTGTGTGAGACTAAAAGGTGGAAACCTTTAAAGTTATCCTTAAAAGGGCCATAAATCTCCCATCTTTTCTTTACTGATGATCTCATTTTGTTTGTTGAAGCATCATTAGATCAAGCAACCCTAATTAAGCAAATTATGGAAATTTTTTTGCAAAGCTTCAGGGAACCGTATGAATTTGAATAAAACTAAACTGTTTTGCTCCAGGAATGTTTGCTTCCAGTGTAGCTCAGAGCTAAGTCAAAATCTGGGAGTTGGACTAACTTTGGACCTTGGTAAATATTTAGGCATCCCTCTTCTTCATAAGAAATTTAGTAAAGGTATGTTCCTTCCCCTTCTCTAGAAGGTTCACTAAAGATTATCTTCTTAGAAGAGTACCTATCTCATTATAGGTGGGAGAATAATTTTAATCAAATCTGTCATTTCTTCCCTTATATCTTACCTTATGCAAACCATATTGATTCCCAAAGGTTTTTGATGGAGGTTGAGAAATATTATAAGAAATTTCTTTGGATTAACAGAGAAGATCAAAGAAAGCTTTATCTAATCTCATAGAGCAAAACAAAAGAACACAAGCACATAGGAGGACTTGGCATAAAAGATCTTCAAACCCAAAATGAAGCCTTCATTATGAAACTCTGTTGGGCTCTACTCACCAAGCCTATGTGTTGTGGGTGCAATGCTTAAAGGCATACAATAATATTTTTCATTTTAGTTAGGTCCTTATACTTTGATCTGTCAAGTTCATAATCCTTGGAAGCTAAATATGTTAGTAAGGATTAACAGAGTTGTTAACACCATTAAAATAAGTTGATGCAGTAGTCAGGTGGGTTTATCGCTGACATACTAGACTAGAAGGAAGACCATTTAGACTAGAACTTCAAAGCCAGGAAGATGTTCACAATCAACCTCATGCTATTGTGTACTTTGACAAAAATGAGAAGGTTGTCTTGTTTCATTAAGAGGGTCATGTAAACAATTGCCCATTAATCATGATTGTTCTAAATTCAATTATCTTGGTGCCTATTCCAATCACTTGAATTTTTCCAGTTAGTTTCATCACTTTAGTTTGTCGGCCACATGGCTATTCTTATATGTCCTCCTCGACGTGTAACTTTGACTACATGGTCAATTTCAACAAAACCAAGAATTAGTACTTCACCACAATGATTCTCCCACCTTTCTCTCCACCGGCAATCTATGCCTCGATTTCTCCTTATATGTTGTTCTTGATACATTTTTTAGTGTCTCCTAAATGATTTTATTTGTGTTATTAATTTAATTTTAAGTTGTACATTCGATTGAAGATGAGATAACATTGATCCCACAATGCCTTGTTTTCACTTTGGCACACAGAGCATTGTAAGCTCAACAAGATTTTACTAGAAATATTCGTTTAGTAACAAATAAATGATGGGAAGGCTCTTCATGGTGGCAGCACATTGTGACTCCACCGGTTAGTCTGTGACTGTTTTAAAGCAACTGTCGATAGAGTCTCGAGAGTCAAATCACAATTTGCTAAAGCTCTACCTTTTTGCTACAAAGTTTTCATCCCTTACAAGATCAACATGTCCACCAATTATGCTAGGTTTTCCTTGTTATTGATTTTTTTCTCCTTTTATGAAGTGATAAGTTCGTAAAAAAATCATTATATTTTACATCACATATGTTATCTATACATGCATGGATAAATGAAGAGATTGGTTGGTTAAAAGTTAATCAAACGTAATCAAGGCGTTATTGATTGGTTTGCAACATCAAGTTATGACAACAAAGAATGGGAGCTGCTATAATATTATGAGTGAAAAGTGAAGAATAAATAAATTGAGGAATCAAAAGGAGGCCCCACCTATGTCGTCCATTGTCTCAATTATCACTTGTGTGTTTGAAGGGTTCTAAGGCCCTGTTTGGTACAAAGATATGAATTTTGAGGGATTAGGATTGGGATTGAAATTGAGATTGGAGTTGGGATTAGAACTTTAAAAATATATTTGGTATGAAGTAATATTTGGAGGGAATACTTATATTAATTTTTTTTAATTCATCAGAAATGAACAAAATACCATAATGCCCCTTATTATTAATAAAAAAATAAAGTTATCAAGATGAACAGCACACAGCTTAGGGGAGGATACGGCGGATCTAGAGCTTTGCACTTCAGATTTGGAGCTCCCCAGTGGTGGATGCGAGGGAGCTGGAGGAGAGGGCGGCGAGTGAGAAGGGAGTAAGAAGACAATCTCAAATGCAAATTTAACACCAAATCAAATTTAAAAATGTATACATTTGCACAATTAAGGGAGGAAGAAGACAATCCTGTTGCAACCTTTCATCGTTGTTGCTTCTATTCTTGCTCGCCTATCATCAGATTTGAAAATGTATTGATCTCACACATCACCCAATCTGAAACAAGAAAACAAATCTTGCTCGCCCATTGTCATTGTTTTTGT